TTTAACAAACAACTGCTTCATCTTGAAACAACTTTAAATTAGTTTACAAAGAATTATTAACATCGAAAGAACAAAATCTGCAACAACGAAAACATCTGAAGACCAACAACGAAGACAACAGCAATTGATAGAGACGATGAACCATACGATTCAGAACCTAGAAGCTTCATTCCAAGACGTTAAAAGTGAAAACAGTGTTCTGAAAGATAAAATATACAGTTTGAATTCTTCATTCTATCAATACAATTTTACTTATTCCGATAGTTTTCAGCGACAGAAACAATTTGATGAGCTCCAACTTCTCCAACAGCAACAAGATTATATGATAGAGTCGATGAACCATACGTTCCAGAATCTAGAAGCTTCATTTCGAGACGTACAGAGTGCAAACGGCGTATTGAATGGCAGACTTGATAGTCTGAATTCCTCATTCTTACAACAAAATCATTCCAGTGTCGATTATATCACAAAAGAACTTCAACTACAGACACAGAATTATCACTTTCACTTATGGAATTGAACAAATCTAGATCAGAGGACATCGAAACATTAAGAAATATCATTAGAAGTAGAGAACAGGACGTACCGAAAAATATAACTTCTGTCGTCAATAGCCTTAAACTGAATGATAGATACTTATCGCTTTCCCTATTAGATTTGCAAAATAATATATCAATGATTGGAACACTTCTCCAGGAACAGCAGAGGATACAATCAAACCAGCACAAGCTATTGCAGATGGAAATCCAAAATCTCACTTATTCATTTAACAAGAGCACAATTCTTCTTTCCAATCTCCAAACACGTATGTATGCAAAAAAATTTCTTATACTTTCAATTGCCTCTACATGTATACCGGTATATTATAATGACTAACCATACGTTTTTCAGGTTCACTGGAGTATCCTTTTATCGTGTCATACAAGTTTTGTAACATATTTTTTTTTACAATTTAAATTTTTGGAATCAACTTTACCCTCAATGCAGAAGATTACTCTGAAAACAATTTAAATTGTAGACGATTTAAAAATGATTTTTATGAATCATATATTTTTAATTACGTTTCACTTTAATTGGTAATCGTATTATTTTATTTCTTCAAGGTCAAGAGACAACCGTTGCGTTTACAGCGGGGGTCGGACCCGGTGATAACAAAGTATTTTCACCAGGACAAACTGTAATATTCAGACAGATTATCTACCAAGTGGGAGGTGGATATAACCCTTCATCAGGAATATTCACCGCCCCGAAGACTGGACTCTACGTCATATTCTGTACTAATGTGGCAGAATATCATGAAACCTTCTGGACAAAAATAATGATAAATGGTTCAGCTAAGGCAGGAGTCATGGCACTTCTTCGATCATCTAACGTATACATCTACCAATCAGCCTCCAACCTTGTTGTCCACCTATTACAGATGGGAGACAGAGTCTGGATACAAGTTCGCAGTGGTAATCATCTGTGTTCAGATTCACCGGAAACAACTTTTTCTGTGGTCATGATCAATGGATCATTCTAAAGTCGACATTGGTGGAAATAGTTTTGAATAAAATTTGTTATTTATTATATATATTTAGCGAAACATTGTAACGCTTCGAAACGCCTACCTTTTGTTGAGAACAAAGACTCCGATGTAAAGTTTTAGAATTTTTTTCAGTTATTCATGAAGAGCTAAAATGATTGATTGATTGTATATTGTTTAACGTCCCTCTCGAGAATTTGGAGACGCCACCACTTGCTGGTGGAGGTTGTCAAATTTTGTTCTTTCCTCGGCATTCATGGCCATTGAGCAGGAAGGGATCTTTTTTGTGCCAGCACCTTCTGCGACACGGGACCTCGTTTTATACGGTCTCATCTGAAGGACCTGTCTCCATGTCCCACAGTGGGAATCGAATCCGCGACGTAGGACTCCTTACTTCGAGACTGTAGAGCAGATGCTCTAACTACTGCGCCATGCGAAAAACAGTGTGTAAAACTGACAAGTCTCAACCGTTGCAGGCGCGGATTGGAAATTTTTCAAAGAGGGGGGGGGATGGCTCAATTGGGGGGGGGGTGAAGAGGGAAAGAGTTATTATAACGTACGTTTTACACATACATGTTGTTAAATAACTCAATATGATACAGGGTGGAGTATGGTTTTTAAAAGTGGGAGGATGATCAACCTGGGAAAAAGTACTTGTATCGAAACATGTACATAAAATAGACATATGACTCTTCAATGTATATATACATATGTATCATATTGTGGTATGGGGCATCAGTATTTAGGCCTAATGGTAATTAATTAATGTACATGCAGTTTTGAACTTAATGTTTATAAGACAGATAGAGAAAAAAGAAAAAAATGCAAAGTACATTAGTAGTAGAGACTGAAGTACACTTGAATTGAATAATTATGTATTTCCTAACATTTTCACTTTTATCATTTTTTAATGAGATTTTTTATCTTAATAAAAGATTTGGATAAAAAGTCACATAGTTTAAATAATATATTGTGATCTTCATTTGCCATAATCCATAAAAAATTTTCATTGTTGGACAGAGTGTTGAAATTTTTATAATTGTCACTTAAAAAGTTAAACAAAACTTTCCTTTCTTCATTATATAAAGAACAATTTGTAAGGAAATGGATTTCATCTTCAATACAATTTGAATTACAAAGAGTACATGTCCGTTGACTTCTTTCTAGAGGGATCTTTTTTCCATTAATACCTTTTGTGTATTCATATCTACCACGTTCAAATCTCAATTCATGTGCACTTATTCTAAATTTACACAGTATAAATGAGTAAACGGTCGATTTTTTTTGTTTTTGTATCTTTTGTACCCGTATATGATTTCTTATGTGAAAATTAGAAAATTTTAAATGCAGAACACATATAAAAATAACTAATTTATTCTTAAAAATTAAGAAAATAAGAAAATTCGGACAAGTCAAAATTCATTTTTATTAACTATTCGTGTCAATTTGGTAATGTCATCTTATAGACCCTGGTCCGCCGTTATAAAACATACTTAAGTCTGAGAATGCTCTCAAGTCTGAGAATTTTCTCAAATCCAAAATTCTCAGACTCAGCCACCGTCATAAAAAGTTGAGAAAAATAAATTCCTTAAACTCTGTTTTATTCTTAAGTTCTCAGCTAAGTATTCTCAAGACTTTCAAGAGTGGAGAATTCCTTTGAGAATTCTCAAAGTTTTATGACGGCGGACCCCTATATGGCAACATCTTTTTATGCAAAAAGAAAATCATTTAATCTTTAGAAATAGGGAACCGTATTGGACTGTAAACAGCCTATATCTGAAACGATCTTCAAGTTGTCTTTTCAGATCAAATAAATATGTTTGCAAAATCCCTCTGTTTCTAGTTAGTATTGGATTTTAAAATAAATTCATACGCTTTTTTACTGTGTTATCTTATTTGCAATGAGTTTGACATGTCCTTGTTTTACACATATATCTAAAAGAAATTGTTCAACTATGGCGTGGATAACGTGCATCGTGTTGATTCTTGCTAGTATTATTTCATTTTCTGGTGCATTGCAGCATGGTAACTCAAACACTTCTCCATCTTCTAACCCACATACCGATCCTGACGTGTACAAACAACTACTTCATCTTGAAACAACTTTAGATTCAGTTTATAAAGAATTATTAACTTTGAAGGAACAAAATCTTCAACAACAAAAAGCATCTGATGAGCTCCAACGACGACAACAGCAACAAGATCAAATGATGGAGTCGATGAACCATACGATTCAGAATTTAGAAGCTTCATTTCAAAACGTACAAAGTGAAAACGGCATGTTGAAGGAAAAGTTAAATAGTCTGAACTCCTCGTTCTGTCAACAAAATAATTCCAATTTTGATGGTATCACAAAAGAACTTCAACTTCAGGCACAGAATCTATCACTTTCAATTATGGAATTGAACAAATCTAGTTCGGAGGACATCCAAACATTAAGAAATATCATCACAAGAAGAGAACAGGAAGTGCCGAAAAATATAACCTCAGTCGTCAGTAGCCTTAAAATGAACGATAGATACTTATCGCTTTCCCTTTTGGATGTTCAAAATAACATCTCAGCGCTAGGATCATCACTCCAGCAACAGCAGAAGACACAAACAGAACAACATCAACTAACACAGGCGGGGATACAAAATCTCCAAACACGTATGTATGAAAAGGTATTTCTTTAATATTTCAGTAATCATGTATAAATACCTTTTACCCTACATAATCAACTAATATACTAAGTATATATAATATTTCATTTTGGAACTTGAAAAATTATGTAACTCTTGCATCTACATTTAGCGATAACTTTTCAGAACCATTAGGATATCCTCCATATGAATGTTATTCTAGAAGAAATTTCATAGTGTCATTCATGTTTTGTGAAATATTGTAGTTAAATTAAAACTTTGGAATAACCTGTATCCTTAATACAGAGGATCACTATGAAAACGGAAAGTGTCAAAACTTTTGTAGACGATCTTAAAAAAAAATAAATAGTACTGAGTATTAATTCTTTCATAATGTTTCACTAATATTGGTAAACAATCACATTCTTGGTATTTTTTAATATTTTCTTCAAGGTCTAGAACAACCGTTGCTTTTACAGCTGGAGTTGGAGCTAGCGATAATTGGGCATTTTCACCTGGACAAACTATTATTTTCCCCACAAGTTATCTACCAAGTGGGAAGTGGATATAATCCTTCAACAGGAATATTTACTGCCCCAAAGGCTGGTCTGTATCTTATATTCTGTACCACTGTGGCATTTCACGACGAAATTTTCTGGATCAAAATATTGATTAATGGTTCAGTTAAGGCAGGAGTCATGGCTTATCATCCCTCATCTAATACGTATGTATACCCATCAGCCTCCAACCTTGTTGTCCACCAGTTACAGGCGGGGGACAGAGTTGGACACAGGTCTATCAGGGTAGTCAACTGTACTCAAATTATCCAGATACAACCTTTTCTGTCATCATGGTCAATGGATTTCTATAATATCGTCACTGGTACAAGGTATAAGAAACCTGAGGGGGGGAGCTTTCGAAAAAAATCTGTATTTAAGAACCTGAATATTTTCACATAAAATCATATGAAAAAAAGTTTTAGTTCATGATCAATAGATTTATGGATGTGTTGTCAAAAGATTTAAAACATGATTGTGACGTAAACTTTTTGTTTGTGTTGTCCATTCTATAGCTTAAGTGTTGAGCTATCTCCCCTAACTATCCATTAAGTCACCTTTAAGTGTCAATTCTTTTTGAAAAAACTGTCTATTCTTCTTTCAGAATAGACAGTTTAAAAAAAAATAGATAGTTAAAACAAACAGAATGGAGAGTTACAGGGTAAACCTTGGCGTGTGCACAAGAGGGAAACAAAAACAAATACTTTAAATACGATTTAATGTACATGTAAATAACAAAAAGAACTTGGAGATTTAAGTTAATCCAGAACACGGTGTCTGCATCGGATCTGTTCGATTTTACACATTCAAATCCATGAATATTGCATTTTATTTCAATTCTCAAAACTCATTTTTTTTCCCACAAAACTTGAATTTAAATGACACAATTTCACATTTGATTAAGATTTTGGAAGCATCATTTGTTTGTTTGTTTGTTTATTCAGGAAATGGCACAAGTCATATATGAAACATAAGATAGAAACATTAGAACATAATTGGCACATGGAATCCAAAGAAATCATAAGATTTCATAAAAAATACAATTGTAATAAAACACTGGCATTATTTCATAAAAAACAAGTACTTAAGAAAAAACATTTAATTCAGTATATCTAAAAGTGAATGGCGGGTAACTATATAATTTTTGTACTAAGTATAGCCATTTACCCGAGGATGACCCATAAAAGCAATAATGTGCTTATTTCCAATGGGGTCCTCATAAATTGTAATAGTAATTAACCTACTTAGCACTAAATGCTATGATATAAATACGAATAAATAAAACATAAATAAAAAAGACAATATATATGTTTTAAGAAGGTAATAGAATAAAAACTCATTTTCAGATATTGAGCGCATTTTAAATAAAAGGTGTTTTTTTAATTCTTTTTTGAAAACAGCTTTGTTTTTAATGGATTTTATCTCATCTGGAAGTGAATTCCACTCCTTGATACCATTATGATAGAAAGTATCCGACTCTAACTTACATGTAACAATTCCTTGGATAAAGTTCAACTTGCTGGACCTAGTTGTTCTAGCTGTTCTTGTAGAGTTTTGAATAAAATGCTCAGATATATCATTTGGACATTTCACATGAAAAATATTAAACACATGATTAAGTCGGAGTTGAGAAACCTTTTTAACATTCAAGAAGCCTACTTTTTT